TTTCTAACTTTGGGCTCTACTAGAGCAGCTTTGCATTATTCATATTGGGAAATAATCCTTTAATATCTTATCCAAGCCATGCTGTAGCCCTCAGCTCATCTTCTGTCTGAAAATAGCTATTTTGGCTCCTCCCCTTTTGAGGCTTCTGTGCCCGAGGTGACCGTGGTAAGGCTATCGCCTCGCTATGACATTATATGAAGCCAAGAACAGGCTGAAACCTGAGCGGAGGATGAGACAGGAAATGAGGAGTAAGTCCTGTTTATCACACAAAGACAGGGACACTGGTGAAACATGAACTTTTGATTTGATCTTTTTGTGCAGAAATAATTTCAATCTTTTGATCTTAAGCTCACATATGAAGAGCAAAACACAGAAACAAAGGTGGGTGTGCTCCACCTCTCCACCCGTGGCCTCAGCTGGGCTCCAGCCACGTGTTCTTGCTGAACTAAATCATAATAAAAAATATATTTTGTTGGTTTTTCAAAGATCATTTAGATTTATTTTACAGGCAGCTGTTCTGATGCAGATACACAAGCTCGACTCCCAAAAAACTGCCAAACACAGGTGGTTTGGAAAGGAAAGACTGCCCTCTACAGGGAGAAGCTGGCACTGCAGCACGAAAACCCCTCTGGGCTGAGCTGTGGATCATCGTCTCCCACACCTGCTTGCATGGATGCACACACTCTGAGCTCCCTGCAGCTTCAACTACAAATGTTTTTATTCTTTCTAAAAGGACATTGATCCATTCACCAGCTTCTAAAGAACACTTTTACACATCCCATATTTTCTTCTAAATCTTACATTTGATATCAGATTTGATGTAAGAAGTCAGGCCAATGAAGAATGACCTCATGTCCAGAAGTGTTGGACTGACCTCGGGATTGACAAACCTGAGGTCTTTCCTCGGACGCAGTTTCTTGGTGGATTCCCGTCCTCTCCCACCCGGGGGAAATGATGCTGTTTGACGTGCAGGGTTATAATGGTACCACGGTCCATCGCCACACTGTTTCCATCTCCACGGTGACAATCAGGCCGCTTAAACATTGTAGTTGAGACTACACCCGTTAACTCATACACTTTGTGTTCCTCAGTTTGACACCTGAGTGGAGTCTTTCTATTTGAAAGAACACTGACCTTCTCTTGGTGGTCCACTCTCATCAACCGGCCACAGCAGCTTTGGTCTCTGCTCGCCGCTCTCCACCTGCCTGCATCCTGGACCTCGCCTGCCAGCTCAGCAGCCCTTCCTCTCCTTGTTTCTCTGCAAGTAAAAGTAAGAATGTGACCTTTAAACCCTGTGATCATTATCCTCTCCTGTTTGAAAACATGACTAACTTCTTCTCCAGGCTCAGGCTCCCTCTCCCCAGTATCACGTTTACCCAAAACTTGCCACACTATCCATAAAACCTGCACACTCACAACAAGCTCCTGGATCCGTCTGCAGGACCCTGATCACAGCTTTTATTTAACTTGGGAGTGAAGTTTATCCATACAGTGTTATGAACATGACAAACGTCCTCTGTCTTAAAAAGATGAGTCAGCAGCTTCTGTGTGACAGCTGATGGGAATATCTGCCTAATTCAGTCAGGGACGTCTGCTCTGGCAGGCTGCTGATCGTCGATTCACCAGGATAAAAAGGTCCTTAAAAGGCTGACAGATAAACAAGCTCAGACCTCCTGTTTTTAAT